TTGTACTTGTGACAGCATAATTTAATTAAAATTAAAAGCAGGGGGGGAAAAAAAGAAAAAAATATGTCTGATTAACTGTTACACTTCGGATTTAGTTTTGTTCTGCTGCAGAGTTATGCATTACCTTTTTTGTTGTTCTATCATATTAAGTCTTAATAAAAAGGTTGTAATGTTCCATTTTATCCACAACTTTAAGGTTTATTGTCAATTTTGAAAAAAATATAGTATTATTGTACAATACCTAATTTTAAAACCTCTGTAGTATAACAGCTCATTTGGATAACAATACACAGTGTTAAGAGGAAAAAAGAACAACAGGGGGCATACAAAGTGAACCCATTGAATTTAGGGAGTTACTACAACAGCACCAGAGCAGATTTTTTCAAAAACCGGAAAACAGAAGTGTGTATTTGTTTAATAGTACCACAGTGAAAACGGTTGTGAAGGCAGAAAAAGTACCACATTTTCTCTGCTTAAACGTCAAATTTAACATGAAATCTCTGCTTAGCAGTTCAAAGTTTCATCTTTGTCCTATGGCAAAAAAAAAAAAAAAAAAAAAACTGCAGCTGATTCCAGCATGCCCTCGAGTTAGAAAGAAGCTTCTGAGTCACACACACACATGATTTGCAATGAACTTTAGCTAATATTAGAGAGTGGTAAAAAAAGAGAAGAAAACCAGCGCAGAGAGGACTTTAAAAAAGGCATTCTATGACAACTTCCTCTGGTTTGATAAAAATGTCAGAACAGCCTGGACCCTGTTTTAAATTTTGTATTTGTTTTGCATTTAAAATTCAAAAGTGGTGATTGTCAATGAATCTGTGTTTTGTTCTTGTGATAGAAGACCAATAAAATTTCCCAAACAAGTTTGCAGTGGAAACCTTTAAAAGTGCCAGGAGATATTTCCATGAAATGAGTACAATATTTACCTCATAATATTTGTATTATGTTGCTTTAAATATTTCCCTTCATTAAAGGAAATTATTTCAATCATAACTGTACAGCAATTTGCCACCCAGGGTTATAAACCTTTAACTTCTAGGCTCCAGCTTGTCTCCATCCTTTGTTTTGGAACCACTTTTGACCAGCAATTTGATAAGCATTCTAGTTACTTGTACAGAAAAGGCTAAATTCACTGTGCTTCATTAAATCCTACATCTGGGAACCAAAAATATTGTTAATCAAGCAAGTTTTTTATCATTTGTTACCTTACAAGTTTTATCTTATTTATCTTTCATATTCATATCTGAATTATAAGCAGTGTAGGAAACAATAGTTACTAGTTTAAAAAAAAAATACTAAATTAGAAACTAAGTTACCGCACAACCAAAGTAACTATATGGTTACTTTTTTATGATATGAAATGTCAAATAATTGAACTATCCTGTTGTCAGTGTTTTAAATACAACTCATGGTTTAACTAAAAAGTGCTTGTTTTTAATTAATTAATCCAATAATGAATTTAAAAGACCACATATCTTAGAAAACGTATATTCCAGTCAGGGTTGAATTAGATGTTTTAGAACTTTATTTTTCAATGTTGTGAGTTTTGTGTGTAAAATGGGTGTAAAGACGATAAACAATACATTTTAAGAAGGGATGCACGATATTGGGATTTTGGCCGATATCCGATATGCCGAAATTTTAACACTCATGTAGCCGATAACCGATATCGATACCGATGTTAAAGCTGGACAAAAATAAGTAGTCATTGAAAATAGCAGTTTTGTTATCCATTTCTGACACTTTGAAAAATAATATACTCAAATATATTTTCATATGCTGATATCAAATAGATTTTTAAAAACGCGGTATCGATCTATTTTACTTTCAAAATCTCATGAAATTTCATCGTTCTGTTACAAACTCTTGTGATATTTTGCAAATTCTTGTGAGATTTTGTTAGTAAAATAGATCGATACCACGTCAATATATCAACATATAAAAATATGGCAAAATTTTGTGAATTTTCGGGGGATTTCGTAGCATAACGATGACATATAGGAATATTTCATTAGTAAAAGAGATTGATATGGTGTTTTTTAAATGGCAATATATCAGCATATGAAGATATTGGGATATTTTAATTTATCAATATTTTTTCCCTCGTCTTTAGAAGTTTTTAAGTCTGTAAAAAGAAGTTTTTGAGGAAGAAGAAGTATATATTTTTTTTTAGACTTTAGAAACTCAGAAGCTGATCAAATATCGGGTTAAATACCGATGGGGTGGCCGATATCCGATATTCAGTTTTAAGGCCGATACCGATAGGGGGCCGATTATATCGTGCATCCCTAATTTTAAGCAATTTAATAAAAATAAGATATATCTGTAACTGAATTCAACAGCATTTGCACTATTTCAGAGAACAAAATAATCACTGTTTAAAAAAGGTGTGAAAAAAGTCAAGATTAAAAGTGAATTCAGACAGTAAAGATTTTGTGCCTCAAAAGGCATCCAGCTGTTAGAAGCAGCTGCATTCTAAAGAATCTTTAGATTGCTTCTCCTTCTAACCAACATAGTCATTGTTCTGAGCAAATGATATGACCCTTTAGCCTTTGACTTCATCAGCTGCTTTTCTTAAGGAATTCTGAGATTGAATCTGATTTATGTTCTAGGCATACTGAAAGTCTGCTCACATTACAGCTCCTCCGCCAATGTATGTGTAACTCAGCTCCCTGCCTTTCCTTGCAGCAAAAACAGAGAGGGCATATTTAAAAAGTTGCTTTGATTGATTGATTTGTGGTAGTAAACCAATATCCCATGTTGCCAACAAGTTAAAAGAATTTAGTTAGATTACATCTTCAAAGAAAAAATAAGGCAGCTATTAACATCATAATTACGTAACATAATGCAGTTTTTTCTTAATAAATTCTGCTCTCTGAGGACAAGCTCCTTCCTCTCAAGGACCTTTCATGATGTACAGTGATTAAATCATCCCCTCCAGGAGGCCTCTACCATGTAAGCATGATTGCCTCGTAATCAACAGGACCACTTTCTCTGATCAGCTAAAGGGATATACAGTAAGACAGAGCACTCTAACATGAGATTAAATGGCTCTTTCAGCAGCTAACTTTTGCAGTCTGCACACAATTTGTTTTAGCTGATCGTTAAGTTCTAAGTGGTGTTGGACTCTAAAGAAGAGCATAATGATTCGAAAGTTGCATTTTACTATGCTGTAAAATGATATTACATTTTCCAATCTGATGTTCTTCCAGGTCGGAAAAATGCTCTCTGACCACTGGATTACGGTCTACAATTTTTTACTTAATTTTTATTAAAAGCTTAAAAGTAAAAATTGTCATTGAACAGATAATAGCAGAAATCTTTGTTCGACAGAATATTTTGGAGCAATACTTATTGTTAAAATGAAACATTTAAATAATACTTAGCCTCTAGCTTAAAATTAAACTCCAAAGTTATTTTTTTTGTATTGCACAACAGAAGCACAGAATGGGAAGTAGGAGATCTTGTACAAAAAAAGAGATATCAAAAAATAAAGAATAAGTAAATATTAAAAGCAAATAATGTGAAATCGTAATAGAAAATATCTTAATAGAAATGAGAAAAAGAACAGTGTGGATACACTAAAAAAATCAGTTTAACACAGGTTTAAATAACATAGGACACTTAAGAGGTAGGGAACAGACAAATGAGGGAGTAGCAAAGGAACACACTTAATAGGTTTGCATGAAAAATAACACAGACCTGAATTTAGCTGCATAAAAAACAGTGCAAGGTAATTTTTTAACCAATGTGATATCAGTTAAATCATTTTCCCTTAAACCAAAGGCTGAATTCCATTTCTTCATTTAGTCTAAAGTCAACGTTATCATACAATACTGATGCCTCTGCAGGGAAACAGAAACACTTTACAAGAGCAAGTAGCAAAAAAGAAAATACGTTTGATCTGATCATTTTGATCGCATAACTAATAACTATTTTGCAGCTGCTGAACTGATTGGTCTGTTGTGAAATGTAAACATACTTATTCAGTGGTCAAACCTTTTCCGCACATACAGACACACTCATAGACTCAGGAGGCAGTGGTCAAAGACTCCAGGAAGGCGTGACCTAAATGGAAAGGAATGCAAACCTTCTCTCCTCCTGCAGTCTCTCTCTCTCAGACCTTTCTCCTCCCCCTTATGTGTCAAACACACACTGAATAGATTAAGTGGCCATCGAGAGAAACTGAAACAGGCTGAGAAAGAGTAGAGAGAAAATATTACACAGTTTTTCCCACAATGTTTCAGGCCTTCTTCTTTTCCCGTCTGGTTTTCTGTCTCATATAGGTTCACTGAATAGAGCTTTACCCCTGCCTATAGGACATATTCTTTAGGTAAAGATATTTTAAATAGGCATAATGAATCAAAAGCCCCCTAGACAAGAAACCGCAATAAATTAGAGATAAACGTATAAAAGTTCTTTACATTGCAAAAGATAGCTTTACTAGAGTGCATTCCTCAAGTACACACAATATCATAGTTTGTTTAATATGTTTTCAGATAAAAATAAAATGTAATACCAAAGGCAAATAGTGACTACAAAGTGGCCACAAGCAAAGCAGCAAAAGTAGTGGCGGAACTAGGCTTTTAAAACAGGGGTGGCAAAGGTATTATTTGGGGGGTCAATATATACACAGTTCCCTTAGACTACAAACAATAATTATTTTCTGCAAAATGTATATTGATTTAAGCTGTTTATTTTCCAAAATTATGCAATTATGTACTGTCACGCCCATCTCAAGGGCGAGGACAAAAAGGGAGACAGACGAGCGGATCCATAGCAACAACGATTTATTGATTACAAAAAATACGCTCCGTGAGATCAGGCCAGCCAGTCGGAGAGAAGTGTGGACCAATGCTGCTCGTTCCGGCCTGGTCCGGAGGGCAAACAAGCAGAGCGAGTGACTGACTAGTCGTCCCCTTTTATCATTCACCGGTGTGTGCAATTAACAGTCCATCTACCTGCTTCCTGAAAAAAAACAAAAACAAACATGTAGAGGACTAGAGACACCTACTGGACAGAAGGGGATCGTCACACTCCCCCCCATACAAATGGAGTCCTAACCGGGACTCCAAAAAGACAGCGATTTATACTAACAACTAGGTGACAATTGCAATACTAATGGACTTTACAGTCTTACCACAATCACCCATTCAATCCCCACCTCAATAGCTCAGCCACCCTAGCCACTGGAAAAGCCTATAAGAAACTTGGAGAAAAAAAAAAGGACTGAACATTAAACCTAAGCACATGGTGCCCTGGACAAAGCATCTGCCACAATATTGTCCGAGCCCCTAATGTGGCGGATATCCAGACAATAGGGCTGCAAAAACAACATCCATCGCATCAGTCTGCGATTTGGACACTGCAATGAATGCAAAAATGTTAAGGGATTGTGATCAGTATAGACCACCAGAGGAACACTTCCAGAATCCAGATATATTTCAAAATGCTGTAAAGCCCAAATTAGTGCCAATGTCTCTTTTTCAATGACAGAATAGTTCACCTGAAAATGGTTGAATTTTTTAGAGTAGAAACTCACAGGTCGATCAACTCCATCATCATCTTGTTGAAATAAGACAGCACCTGCACCTACATCACTTGCATCCACATGCAGGACAAAAGGACGATCCCATTGTGGAGCTGCAAGAACAGGGAAGGAACAGAGGACAAATTTGACATCATCAAAAGCTTTCTGACAGGAAGCTGTCCAGGTGTACTTCACTTTATCCTTCAGCAAATCTGTTAATGGGGAAACCACTGTAGAAAAGTTCTTACAAAAACTGCGGTAGTACCCCACAAGACCCAGGAACCGCTGGAGTTCTTTTTTTGTTGTTGGTACGGGATACTGTAAAATTGCAGTTACTTTGGCTTCCACTGGACGCACCACCCCTTGCCCCACCACCTTACCCAGATAGGTAACCATAGCCTTAGCAAACTCACACTTCGCCAAGTTAATGGTCAGGTGTGCTTCAGCCAGTCGTTCAAACAGCTTACGTATGTGAGCCAGATGTTCCTTCCACGTATCACTAAAGACCACCACATCATCCAAATATACGGCACACCCTTCCAACCCAGACACAACCATATTCATGAGACGCTGAAAGGTTGCAGGTACATTTCGCAATCCAAAACTCATTACAGAGTAAGAGAACAGACCAAAGGGAGTTATAAAGGCAGAAATCTCTCTAGCTCTCTCAGACAATGGAACTTGCCAATAACCCTTCAATAAATAAAATTTGCTAACAAACTGAGCTGAACCCACCTGATCGACACAATCTTCCATGCGCGGCATCGGATAAGCATCAGATTTTGTAACCATGTTCACTTTCCGATAATCTGTACAAAATCTAAAACTTTTATCAGCCTTCTCCACCAACAAACAAGGTGATGCCCAGCTAGATGCAGAGGATTCAGCAATACTATTTTCAAGCATATACCGAATCTCCCCCTCCATTACCTTCCGCTTCTCCTCAGAAATCCTGTAAAAGCGCTGGCGAATTGGTTGTGCCTCACCCACATCGATGTCATGTTGAACTAAGTGAGTTCGACTGGGCACATCACCAAACAAACAACGATACTCATTAAACATAGCAGTCAACTCAGTGCCCTCCTCCTGAGACAAATGTGCAAACAAAGAATCCAAATTCCTCAGTACATCAGAATTTTTCAGCCTGCCAGTCAACAAACTCTCATTAGGTGGAATCACCCCATCCTTTTCAAGTGCAGATAAGAAACCTAATCCACTTACTGTAGTAGCCACAGAGACAGTCTTATCAACCTGCACCTCCTCATCTTTGCTGGATACCTGTGACTCCCGAGTGTAATAGGGTTTTAACAAATTTGCATGGCAAAGCTGTGTTGACTTCCTACGCCTCGGTGTGGACAGCAGATAGTTTTGATCCGACAGCTTGCGCAGGACTGTAAATGGGCCTTTAAATTTAGCCTGAAAGGGGGAGCTGACAACTGGCAATAATGCAAGTACCTGATCACCAGGACTAAAACATCGATGGTCCACCTTACGGTCATAGATGCGCTTCATCTTCTCCTGAGAAGAGGTCAACTTCTCCCTAGCCATTTCCACCCCCACATGCAAACGATGTCTAAACCCATTGACATAGTCAATTAACTTACTCGGAGGTTCTGAAGGACTCACAGCATCATGTAACAGTTTAAGTGGCCCACGCACTGCATGTCCAAAAACAAGCTCGTTTGGGCTAAACCCAGTACTCTCGTGCACCACCTCACGAGCAGCTAACAGAAGCCATGGTAAGCCATCTTCCCAATCCTGATTTAACTCCACACAGTAAGTACGCAACAAGGACTTGAGGGTCTGATGGAACCTCTCCAGAGCACCTTGACTCTGAGCATGATATGCAGAAGCCTGATTATGTTTGACCTGTAAAAGTTTCAAAACTTGAGCGAACAAATGAGAAGAAAAATTTGAACCTTGATCAGACTGGATAACTTTTGGAATACCAAAAATAGAAATTAACTGAGTCAGAGCCTTTACCACAGACCTAGCAGTAATGGTCCGCAGTGGGTATGCAGCTGGATATCTTGTTGTCTGACACATTACCGTCAACAAATAATTACTCCCAGCCTTAGAACGAGGTAAAGGACCAACACAATCAATAATGAGGTGTTCAAAAGGTTGCATAACCACCGGAATCGGATACAAGGGAACCGGCTTAATGCTCTGATTTGGCTTCCCTGCCATCTGACATGTGTGGCAGGTTTTGATATATTCAGACACATCCCTTTTTAACCGAGGCCAAAAAATAACGCAGGATATAATGATAAGTCTTGTGGACCCCCAAATGACCTGATTGATCATGGGAAGCCCGCAACACTTCACTGCGAAATTTCGAGGGAACAACAGTCTGACAAAGGGAACCCCCAACAAAATCCTCCCCATGTACCAACCATTTCCGCACCAACAATCCATCCTTCAACACATACCCACAGGCCACACTCTCGTCATCAGTGACAACCTGGTCAAAAAGATGACGAAGAGAAGAATCCGCTCTCTGCTCCGCCACCAGGTCACTGTGAGAAACAGACAAAAGAGAATCAGGGACATAAAGAGAGAAAAAATCACCATCTTCGGCACCTCCACCTTCATGGTCAGGGACGGATGCCGACTCAGCATGGGACATAGCTTGCGTCACCGCACAAGCTGTAAAAACCCCAGGGAAACACTGAGCACTCTCATCCAACTTCCCTAGAACAGGGGAAGAAGTTACTATGGGAGCAGGTAGTGGACAATCAGCCCACACCCGGCCACCAGCCAGATCATTGCCCAAGATTACATCCACTCCCTCCAGCGGAAGTGCAGGGCGCACCCCCATGATAACCTCCCCCTGAACCAATCCACACGTCAAAGTCAACTTATGCAGCGGAACTGGTTCCACCATAAGTCCCATTCCCCGCATCAATACATGGTCTCCAGTGTTGGTTTCCTCAGAAAAGGGTAATACAGAGCTCACAATATATGAATTAAAAGCTCCAGTATCCCTCAAAATTTTTACCGGTACCGTAGCATCACTCCCCACCATGGACACATGGCCGTCAGAAAGAAAAGGTGAAAAATCCTCCTGATCCAAAGTATACTTCCGTCCTGTGTCCACCTGTTTAGAGGAAACAAAACCATGCGTTTCAGAGGCAGCAAAAGCAACCGATTTCACCTGAGCACCTCTTTTTGGGCATTCCCGCTTCCAATGGCCTCTGGCTTTGCAATAATGACACACATCAGATAGATCCACATACACATGCCCACTGGAAATCCGTTCTGACCTACTGTTCACATCAGAACCAATGCCTTCCTCCTTTGCATGACTTCCCACAAAAGATTGATTGCCACTCCTGTAACCAAAATCACTGCGAGGTTGATACTCACGGGCCACCCCTGTGTATAAGAACATATTCATCTGCCAGCTTAGCAGCTTCAGCAGCTGTCTTCACGTTATGTTCACTGATATATACCGCAAGGTGACTCGGAACAGAGTTTTTAAACTGTTCCAGGACAACCAAATTACAGAGGTCAACAAAAGTGCTAATTTGTAAGGAAGCACACCACCTACTGAAATGGATTCCCAGCTCCCTGGCAAACTCAACATGGGTTTGTTTCCCAGCCTTCTCCCATGTCCGAAACCTCTGTCGGTAAGCCTCTGGTACCAACTCATAAGCTGTTAAAACAGCCTTCTTCACAGTGGCATAAACTTTACTTTCCTCCCCTGTGAGGGCAGAGTATGCTTCTTGTGCTTTGCCTGTGAACACACACTGTAAAAGCAGTGTCCGGTCCAAATCAGACCAACCTCGACTATCAGCAACACGCTCAAACAGGGAAAAGAAGGTATCCGGATCCCATTCAGAAAACTGAGGAACTAAACGCAGATTATTCCCAACATCAAACGAGCTAGACGCCCCCCTACCGGAAGCATCAAGGGGGACGTTGCCCGCACTAGTTGAGCTCAGTCTGCGTTCTTCCAACTCCAGCCTTTTCACATCCAATCTTTTCTGTTCTATCCCAGCCTGCAGTAAAAGCAGCTCCCGCTTTTGTTCAAAAGTCAATCTAGTATCAAAAACGTCAGTGTCCAACCACGTCGCGCCAGCTTGCAACTTAGCTTGTCCTAACACACCGGAGTCAGTTAAATTAGCTTTAATGGCGGCTTTTATACTCTCCTTAGACCGCTTGTCACTGACCTCCAACGTAAAATGTTCAGCTATCTTTAGTAACTGTTCGCGTGTGCAGCGCTCCAACCCCTCCTCAGACGGATCCCGCAAAAAATCCTCAACAGCAGCCATAACATCTACAGTTATCCACACAACACCTGAATTCCAACCAGTAGCACTCTGAGCTCCCACGCTCCCAAAACAACCACAACGTCACAGCGACCCCGTCCCTCTAACTACCTAACCAGAATCTAACTAATCTCCCCCGCTAGTCTTCGGGTGTTACTTGTGATGGGTATTTATGCACTAACGCCCGAGAGTCCGAAAAAGCAACCAATAAATGGCGACTCCCTGCAACTCCGGATGTGCTCCCGAGACAACTGCTCTTCCCACGTTCACACCACACTAAAATCCCCCCCACAACAAACTCCATAAGGGAAATCGTTGTTAAGCCTGACAGGGACAGAACCACCGCGACCTGCTATGAAGGAGCGATCACTGCTACACAAACACACTCTCTCAGAATAGATGTACAATGGCTGCCTCACTCACCAAACCCAGCACGCTCGTCAACGTCCCCCAACAAAACAGAGTTCACAACTCAACACACTACCTGAAAGCTGGTTCAAACTGACAAGCCCCCATTTGTCACGCCCATCTCAAGGGCGAGGACAAAAAGGGAGACAGACGAGCGGATCCATAGCAACAACGATTTATTGATTACAAAAAATACGCTCCGTGAGATCAGGCCAGCCAGTCGGAGAGAAGTGTGGACCAATGCTGCTCGTTCCGGCCTGGTCCGGAGGGCAAACAAGCAGAGCGAGTGACTGACTAGTCGTCCCCTTTTATCATTCACCGGTGTGTGCAATTAACAGTCCATCTACCTGCTTCCTGAAAAAAAACAAAAACAAACATGTAGAGGACTAGAGACACCTACTGGACAGAAGGGGATTGTCACAGTACCGTACAATGTATTATAGATTAAGAATACAGCAAAAATCGAAATAAAGGAGTACTCAATGTGCTCCTTGGACTAATCAAATCCAGTAGTTAACAAAAATCTAAATTTGGACTTGTCAAAACAAGGCAGGACAAGCAGTGGTTCACATTTAAATGTGTACCACAAGTAGAAGAATAATAGAACAACAAAACAAAACAGCCTTTAAAATTGAAAATTGTTGAACATTGCCCAGTGATATCACAACCTAAATTTCACAAAAACAAACAGAACAGCAAATTCTGTGGTTGAGATTTGGTGAGAATAAAAATGTTTTACAAAGTCTTCCATATTTATGGAATAAAAAGTTCATGGAAAACCTATTTGTTAGAATCCAAAAACACAGCAAACTCAAGTACTGTAGATCAGTGTTTTACAATCCTGGTCCTCAAGGCACCCTGCTCTGCATGTTTTGGTTGTTTCTGAGGTTCAGCACACCTGATTCAGATGATTGCAGTTCAGCAAAGCCTGATAATCTGCTATCAATTGATAACAGGTGTGTGAAAGCTGGGAAACATCTAAAACATGGAGGGCAGGGTGCCTTGAGGACCAGGTTGAAAAACCCTGCTGTAGATAATCTGGTCTCTCTCCACTTTTCTCCCTTCTAAAAAGAAGCCATCTCTTTTCAGGAAGCTCATGCTTAAGGTCTTTCTAGTCTGACTTGAATGTTTTCCCCAAAGCAAGCAGAGGCTTCTCTTTTAGGAATGATGCCCCGCAATTCATACGCAAGGCTCTCAATGCACCAATATGCGGCATTACATATACCAAAACTAATAAATCCACCAAATCTCTGTGATTGTTCCTGAACATTTGGCTAACGACATGTTCTTCAGGCCAGTGTGATGATATATGTCTGTTTCATGAGACCTGTAATTGAAGTTGTAATACTCATAGGTAAAACTAATCACAAGCGATGTGGTGCAACATTACTGTAGGAGCCTAAATGCAGTTTATTTGAGTTAGAATATTTATTTTCTATTTTATTTAAAAATATGCGAATTCATAAGTAAGATAAATATTGTTTTTGATTTAATGATTCAAAGGGATTTAAAATGATTAAAAAATGCTATTTTTATATGTTCGGTTAATTGATATTGTGAGAAAGATATGACTTTTATTGTGACATTTAAAAACCCACGAAGGGGAGTGGTTTATTTTCATGCCAGGTGAGGAAGGCAGTGGGAATCAGATGGAGATTGGAGCACAATAGTTTTTTGACCTCACCCTTCCCAGGCTCCGTTGGACTTTAATAGGACTTCATTTCATGGATTATTTTATGTGTTTTGGATAAAAGGTAGTCTGACGAGCGTCAAGCTAAAGCTTCAATAAGGACAGTAAGAACCTACAATTACCTTACTTCCCCTTAAAAAGCACTTTCTTTAATTTAATCCCAAATCCAAATACCAAACGTATGTGTACATAGCACCAAAAGAAATGCTGTTCATTTATCCTGTGTGTTAATGCCGTGTTGTTTTTTTGGAGCGAAGGAACTGCATGTCAGCTTAACCAATTAAAAGTGTAGCAGAAGTGTGCTGCGTAAGGATACATTCAAGTCCTCCGGGAAATTTGACTGTTTTCTTTCCAAATGTTCATAAAATGTAAACAGTGTTAATAGTGTGGTAGAAATAGAGGTGGCAAAGATTTCTTCTGGGGTGGCTATTGCCACCCCTACTACCCCTCTGACTCCGCCACTGAGCAACAATCAAATAACCGCAATGAGTAAGGCAAGTTTTGAGTATTCAGCTCAATAGTAAGAACAAGGTAAAGGCAATCAACAGCCATTATTGTCAGTAACCAGATACTCTGTTCGGATAATAAATTGGCCTAATAAGAACATTCAGGCCACTGATGTTAAAAAAAGAAAGCCACTCACAATGCATGGTGAATTCCACCCCAAATCTTGCATCGACAGGATATACAATACAAAGAGGCAGAAAACTAGTATCAGAGCCACCACTGAAAATGAAACAGCTGAGCACCAAGAAAACATTGGGAGGATGGCCTCTAGTGATTAAGCACTCTGTGATCATTGTGTTCATTGATAAGCAGTGATCGATGTAGGTACCCCAAATGATGGAAACATCAAAAAAAAAGAAAAAGAGAACTTTAATTTACCAAGGCCTGATGGAAGAACTTGACAGAGCCTGAAAGCAACTGTAGTGCCCATGGTCATTGCATTTGAACACTCTGGCCAATAACCTCAACACTAGAAAAGTGGCTACAACAGATATCTGGAGAAACATCAGAGCTCTCCTTACAGAAATGCACAATCCTTGGGTTTGTGCATTTTAAGATTAAACAGCTTTAGCAAAACAGGGACAGACCGGATAGTACTATGATGCGAAAAAGCAGAGCCAACATAAGGTTATAGTTTGAACTAACAAGTATTGCAGGATGGTAGAATAGAGATAGAAGGAAGCCAAATGATGAAAAGAGGTCCCTATCTCTATCAGCATCTTGGTACTGATGGCTGGCTGGTTGGTGTTCTGATTGCCTGATCCTGACCTGTTTCTGTCCGTTTCCTGACCCGTTTCTGTCTTCGGACCTTTGTGCCTGCCCGCCCCTGTTCTGATCTTTTTACCTGACCTGTCCTCTGATTCTGTTGGATTCTACTGTGGACTGAACCTGAATCTGCCTCTTGACTTCACCCTCTGCCTTTCTCCATCATCTGATCGGATCTGATCTCCTGTCAAGTCTGTGTCCTTCAAGGTTTTAGGGTCTGAAACTCTCTGTGGTAAGCGCTGTGTCTTATCAGCTGACTGGCTTTGTTACTGACCTTGTTCTCTGGGCATGGTCTCAACTCTAAACCAGGTTAGTCACTTAAGCATTCAGAACATCCCCTGCCTTGGTCACTAACCTGTGTTTTATCTTGCCAGAGATACCTGCCTCAGATGCCCAAGGCGCTGCTGCTGCAGATCTGCATGCTTTGATGAACACTTTTTTAAGTTATCTCACTGTTTGTCTTGCCTGAAAACTGAATCACTGTTTTCTGAGTCATTACAATGCCCTCTAGTACTCTAACACTATCGTAGCATATATATATAGAAATTATCTCTGAAAAACATAATACTGCCAAAATTGTGCGTGCATACTAATATGGCAGTATGAATATGTACATAACTGCCCAGATTCTAAAAATGTGCTTATCAAAAAGCCAGCAAGACTACTTTGATTCAGAAGAGGATGACCTATCAGTCTTTGAAGAAGAAGCTGATTAGTCAG